ACCAAGTGAGGGGAAATGGGGGCGAGGAGGGGTGGTAGGGATAGGGAAGGAGAGGGAGGACGGGGGGGGGGTACCAGTGAGGACTGCCCGCGGGAGGAGGGAAGAGAAACAATGCAATTCGCCATAGTGTGTCCAATCGCCGCGCAAGGCATTGATCCGCGAGCCAGATATAGGCAATGGATACTCGAACAATTTCTGAAACGCCTGCTTGCTCGAGTTGCGGCATAATTCGGCCGGTCGGGACTGCAACATTAAAGAAACAATCGGCGGCGCGCCTCGGGGGTGAAGTGAAAAAGGGCGGGCCTTCTCAGAAGGCTCGCAGGTCCCCTGGCCATCTGAGAAAGATTCGAAGCCTTCCCCGAAGACACAGGAAACCTCTCGGAATGCCAGAGGCCCTCTGAAAAGCCCCGCCGGCTTCTGAGAAGGCCTCCTCCTCCTCACTCCCCCCCTCGCTCGCCGCCGAAGCATCAGAGCAACAAGCGGCAGCAGAAGTGTAAACTCTCCGAGCTCCGCGCGGACTTCTTGGATCGGCGCTGGGCCCCCGCCCTGGCGCGTTCCGCCTGCCAGGGGCGGCGCCAGAGGCCGCCAGGGGTCCCAAGCGCCGATCCAGACCTTCCCGAAGACACGGGCAACTTCTCACAAGGCCGGAGGGCTTCGGAGAAGCGCCGCCGCGGTCTGAGAAGGCCTCCTCCGTCTCACTTTCCCACATCGCTCGCCGCCAAAACATAAGCGAGTTCCCCCCCCCCGCCGACCCAGCACACGCCGCAGGTCACGATCCCCAACCAGCCATAGTACAGGAGGAGCAGGCCCCGCTCCACAACTGGCGCGGATGGAGGCCAACAGGAGACGATCCACTCGGCAGGGAGACGACAACTGGCAAGTGTTGCTGAGAGGGCGCGAGAGGATGGGCTGCGACACAGAAGAATGTGGAGGCTCTGCAGGTGCAACGTCGAAGCGAGAAGGATATACGGGGCGGAGATGGGCAGAGGCAGCAGACATCAGATGGCTTGGCTGCAGCTAATGCAAAGCATAGCCAGGGGGTCTTAGTTAAACGGCAAAGTGTGCTAGTCAGGAAATTCAAACATGTTGGCCAGAGTGGACCCCAAACAGTGAGTGCTTCCACAGTGGATGTGTAAGCGATGTGGTGCAAGCCATGTGTCTACGCCATGCGGCGTAAGCTCTGAAGGTGCAAACCGCGTGGTGCAAGCTGTGCGTTGCACCATGCGTGGTGCAAGCCATGTGGCGCAGACTGTGTGGTGCCAGTCCTGTCGTGTGAACGATGCGATGGGGCGGCAGCGTTCAGGCAACAACTAGGGCTCCCAACTTCGCGCTTCGCGCTGCGCGAAGCGCGAAGCGCGAATAACTTCGCGCCCTCGCGCCGCCCCCCCAAAGGGAGAATAGGAGGACGAGGAGGAGGAGGAGAAGGAACGAGGACCGCGAAGCGCGAAGCGCGAATAACTTCGCGCCCTCGAGGGAGCCCTTGCAACAAGCGGCAACGTGGCGAATCCTCGGCGCCCTCACCCAACGCACCGTGCGGCAACGGGGCGGCACCGGGCGGACCGTGGGCGCACGAGGCGGCAACGGCGCGGCAGCACGGCGGCCACCGGGCGGCCACCGTGGCGCATCCTCGGCGCACCCCCACGGGCGGCCACCGGGCGGCACCGTGGCGAGTTCTCGGCGTGCCCACACAGCGCCACGAGGCGGCGATGCCGCGGCAACGAGGCGGCGACGAGGCGGCAGCGGGCGGCCACGTGGCAAACCCTCGGCATGCCCCACCAGGCGGCAACGGCAGCTTGGCGAAGTCTCTGCGTACCCACGCGGCGCACGAGGCGCTCACAACGCGGCCGCACGAGGCGCGAACCACGCGGCAGCGAGGCCGCAAGGGGCGGCTGCGTGGCGAATCCTCGGCAGACCCCCGCTGCGCACGAGGCGGCCACGTCGCGAATCCTCGGCGTGCGCCACAAGCTGCAACGGGCGGCAACGTGGCAAAAACCCAGAATATCCGAGCCATTGCTCAAGAAGTCGGCCCATTGCTTGGGAAACGAGCCTTTGCTGCCCGAGGTTGTCATGGCAGGAGCTTCCTCGCGCTTCGACCTGCATGCAACCGATGTGCCTGTCGCCTCAACGCCGAAGCCCGCTGGAACCCCAAAAGCTCCAGGCCGAGGCGCGTCGGCGAGGGTGAAGCGGTGGAGAGCGGACGAGCAAAGAGCTCAAGGGGCCCGGGGACACACACACACAGACACACACACACACACACACATAAATTTACACTAATCCGAGGATTTCCGATATTTCCCCATATTTTCGTGGTTTTGTCGTGGTTTTGTCCTCCGCCCCACTTGCTATGTTTTCCCATCTTCTCCTGGGGGTCGGCGATGAATCGTGTCTGTATTTCCCCCCCCCCCTGAAGAGCGGATGAGCTAAGAGCGGGGCCGAACGGATTCGCGTATATCTGCAGCAGCCTCTGCGTGACCAGCTGCGGCGTGGGCTCGTACCGAGCCTGCCGGGGACGCCGAAGGGGGGGAGGCGGCACGGCGCAGACGCGCGACCCACGCATTCACGAGCGTGTGCGCGGCTGACTTCTGCATGCCTCTCTGACAACACACTGCCCCTGGCGCGCCGGCCTCCTTCCCTACCTGGAAGTGTCAGCTGGACCGCTGGTGGCTGGCGTCGTCCACTGCGGCGGGGTCACTTGAAGGCCAGATGTTATGGCGGCTTGATAGATGTTTCTTCAGACGACCCATCATCCAATCACATTCGAAGGTGCTCGTTTTGCTGTCGACCTCCTAACGTTTTCGCGTCTCAGGTTATCGCCGATAAGAAAGACAATGGGCAGAGACTTCGATGAATTATGCGGCTTCACTCCGCTGGGCCTCCCAAGAGCCCACGGAACTGGCGACGATCGCGCACTTGACAGCCTCCCAATCAGCCCCCAGTAGGGAAGATACGGCCGAGGGAGGCAAGGCAGCAGGGAGAGGCAGGAAGGTGGGGATGAATGGGGGGAAGGAAGACGCGCGACCAGTGCTCTAACGAGAACTCATCACAGGAGGGTTGGGCACAACTATGTTGGAGCCCCCAAGTTCCAGAGCCCAAGACAACCATATGAACCCCAAGCGTCCCAATTTCATCAGATGGTTCCTTTGATTAGCACACTCAGATTCAATTGAAATCCCATGCACCCCCATGAAATCTCGAGCTTTGGGCTTCCCTGACATCGCGAACTCTTTGAATTCAGTGGGGCGCTTGGGACTCGGAGCTCTGGTCGGGGGGGGTCCACAGTGGAGTGTTGTTCGGAAGGCGAGTGGCCCAACGAAGCCCAAGCATCCAACAAGACTTGTTGGGATTAGCACACCAGAAATCCGGAGCCCTAGGAAGGGGGGTTGGTGAGCTCCAGGGTATTTCTTCTCGGAGGGCGGGCAATCTCAGGACTCCCAAGCACCCCAACGAAATCATATGGTTTCGAATGATTTCTGAAACAACCACACCAGAGATCCCAAACATCCTCTGTGAAATAACGTGGTTCGGGCTTTCCTGACGTCGCGAACCCTGTAAATTCACGGGGATGCTTGGGATTCGGAGCCCGGGGGTCTCCATGGTAATTTGTTTGTCGGAGGGTGGACGATCCCAAACAAACTTGTTTCTCGGATTAGGACACCAGCAATCCCAGACATCCCAGTAAATTCACATTGTTCGGTCGGGATGGCTCACAAGCTTTGGGCTTCCTCTGCGAGGGAAAGCGCCGTTTGCATCTTCTACAGTGCGCTGCCGTCGGGCGTTAAACCAGGCTAGCAGCCCGAGCGCGCTCGCCAGTGGAGTCGAACAAGCCATGCGCCAGTAGACGTCAGGGGGACATGAAAGCGAAGAAGAGGAAGGAAATGGAGGGATGAGGATAACAAGAACTACACCAGGAAGAGGAAGAGAGGACTAAAGAAAGGACACTTAGCACTGCATCATCGTCAAACTAATGAAGGCGAAGAGTGGGTGCTGGGGGGCTGTTCATATATACATCTACACAGAGATGTGTGCAAATGTCGATATACATGGATTCGCGCACGTATAGGCACACACACACGACAACTGAACCACGCCTGCGCGATTAGGACCTAGCTCGGGGCAGGTTAAGGTCACAAGACATTGAGTTCGTAGGCGAAAGTTCACGATGAACACTATTCGGGATCTGCCAGTGGTTCCACATGGACAGGCAGTGTGATATAATTGCGCGTGCTTCCAATGAAGAGAACGAGAGAGGGAGAGAGAGAGAGAGAGATGGTGATCAGAAGTTTAAGGCTGCAGAGGAGGAATCGAGAGGAGGGATGAGGGAGCACGGAGATGGGAATGCGGAGACAGGAGGATGGAGAGGAGGGAGGAGAGGATGATAGCCAGGGAACGTGGGGGATGGAAGGTGTTGCCCTGCTCAGTCGGGCGAACGACCAGCAAGCTACCCAATCAATCGATTACTCGCTCGCTCTCTCGTGTCTTCTTCCATGCCATCTCCTGGGGCCTCTCTGGATACCCGCCGTGCGATTATCTGCCACCTCCTCCTCCTCCTCCTCCTCCTCCTCCTGCTCCTCCTCCTGCTCCTCCTCCCCCCCTGTGGGGCCTGTGGAACGGCCTCGGACCCTGCAGAGCCGCTCCGGGACCCTCCGGGGCCGTCCGGGGATCTCCCTCGGGGCCGTCTTCTGGGGGGCCTCCGGAGGCCTCCGGGGGTCGGCTAGATCTGGGATCTTATGCGTGTCGGGTGCCACGGCCGTTCCAGAGCGCTCTGAGTGCGTGCCGCAGCGCTCTGGAGCGCTTCATCCGCCTGCCAGGCCTGCCTGATGTTGGGCCGCCTCGGGGCACCTCTCGTTTCGGCGGCGAGCGAAGGGGGGGAAGTAAGAAGGAGAAGGCCTTCTCAAAAGGCGGCGGGACTTCTTCGAAGCCCTCGCGCCTTCTGAGAAATTGTCAGTGTCCTCGGGGAAGCCTAGAACACTTCTCCGACGGCCGGGGGACTTCCGAGCCTTCTGGGAAGGCCCGCCCCTTCTCACTTCCCCCTTGGGCTCGCCGACGACGTTGGTCTTGTGCAGAAGAGCCGTAATTTGAAACGTTTAACGCTCCGCGCGGATCTGAGGGAGCCTCGGGGAGGCTTAGGACACTTCTCCGAAGGCCGGGGGGCTTCCGGGCCCATCTGGGAAGGCCCGCCCCTTCTCACTCCCCCCCCTCGCTCGCCACCGACGTCTGCCTTTTGCGACGCCCGGATCTGCGGGAGTCTCGAGGCCCGCTCGACGCTCGGCCGCCGCCGGGCGGCCTCGCGGGCCGCCCCGTCGCCACCGCAGCAGAGCTCCGCCGGAGAGGCGCGCGGGGCCTGCCGTGCAGGCGCGCTGCGCTAGCCCGTGTAGCTCCACACGCTGCGCGGTGGTCCAGGGATGGGGCCCTGAAGGGTCGGGGGCCCGAGGACGAGGTGCCGGGGATCGCCCCGAGCAGTGCTCTTCGTTTTCGTTGTGGTTTTCCCTCGTTGCCGTTGTCTTCAGGACGCCTTTGCTGCAACACGGCATCGAAACGAGAACGGCCCACGACATCGCCAAAACACCGTTTGGGTCGACCCCTGCGAGGTGTCCCAGACAGTGCAAATTCAACCTTGGAGCCCTGCCTATCCTCAGGACCCTGTGTGAGCCTTCATGGGAGCCTCTGCGGACCTTCGCGGCCCTACAGAAACCTGATGTCGACGGGATGCCGGTCAGATTTCGACCACCCCTTTTCACCCTGTCGTTCAGATTTCGTCCAGATGCCGACGAAATCTGGACGATATCCCCAGGAAGTTTTAGGACCCTCTGAGGCTTCCATGAAGGACCTCACAGGGGACCCATTCTGGATGTTGCTAGACGTGCCCCTGGCCCAAGGTGCCCCCAGGATGTCCAAGGCGGCCCCTACGGCCTCCATAGCACTCCTCACGAGGCCCAGAGGGCCCCAGGGGCTCGAAAATGGAGCGACAAACTGGAGATACCTTGGGCCAGCGGCACCTCCAGCAACAACCGACCATCCCTCATCCCTCAATGGGGGAATAAGCAATGGCATGAACATAACAACTCGGAGGTCCGCGCGGATTCCTCAGATCGGCGCTGGGGCGCCAAGGAGGGGGTCCAGCGCCGATCCGAGAAATCCGCGCGAGCCTCAGATTTTGTAAGGTCATGTCGTTTTGGGGATCTTCTGACCCGGGTCAATCCAGACCCGGGTCAGCGGGAAACCAAAAACTGCAATGCAGGAAAAAAAAATTGCAACGCAGATCTTCGCAAACCCGGGTCAGCCAATATGCGCGGCCGCCTCGCGGCTCGCTGACCCGGGTCAGCCAAAGGGGGTCTTCGCAAGATCCTGCAGGATCTGGTGCTCTGGCTGACCCCCGTTTGCATTGACCCCCGTCTCAAGGCTCCCGATCGTTGCCTAGTCCCCGCGTCCCGGGCTTCGGTGCCCGAGGCCTCCCAGCTGGGGCTCGAGCGGATGGGGTCGGAGGATCGCGCCGCACCGCCGATGCATCGGCGACGGCGCTGCGTGGCCCGATGTGGATCGGCGGCGAGCCCGGGGGGGAAGCGAGGAGTGGCGGGTCTTCCCAGAAGGCTCGGACATCCCTGGCCTTCGGAGAAGTGTTGCACCGTCGGGGCGTTGACCTAAGGAACCCTAAATAAGGAACGAGGCCCCTTTTTTTCCATAAGTTAAACTTCGATTTCCTGACGAAAACCTGAGGAAAATCCAAGGCAAACTGCGAAACAATTAAGGAACACGGAGCCCCTCCCCAACGAAAAGCGTTCCTTCTTTAGGGCCCCGACTGTAAGCCTTCCCCGGAGGCACCGGAAACTCTTCAGAAGGCCAGCGGCCTTCTCAGAAGTCCCGCCGCCTGCTGAGAGGGCCTTCTCCTTCTCACTTCCCCCCCTTCGCTGGCCGCCGAGTGGAACAGGAATTGTTTCGACCATCTCCATTTGGAGAAACAAAAACGGCATAAGCACAAACCTTCGGCAGTCCGCGCAGATTTCTTGGATCTGATCTGGACCCCCGTCCCTGGCGCGCGGAGCGCGCCAGGGGCGGCGCCTGAGGCACCGCCAGGGGGGCCCAGCGCAGATCCAAGAAATCCGCGCGGCCAAAAGTTTCTGTTTATGACGTTTCGTTATTCGACCATCTCTGAACGCATCGGAGAATCACGCCGCATCGCCGATGCATCGGCGATGCATTGGCGATGCATCGGCGATGTACGAAGAAAATTGGGCTCCACATCAAGCCGCATCACTGCTGCATCGGCAATGCGCCGCGATCCTCCGACCCCGCATACTCCGACCCTATCTAGGAGGCCTAGAGTGGAGCCCGAATGGCTTCGACCTCCACCTCGTGCGCCAAGAAAAGACCCGTGATCATCCTGCTACTCCTCCTCCCTGCGCCACCCTGCACCTCTTCCACCCTCCTCCGCCCTGCGCCTCTTCCGCCCTCCTCCGCCCTGCGCCTCTTCCGCCCTCCCCCGCCCTGCACCTCTTCCGCCCT